ACATTAAACATTTAATACCAATATCGGTTTATTTTTGGCCACCACATATGCATACAATCTTTTTACTTATCAATCATAATTATACAAACTAATTAATTTATATTTTTTTTTTAATTGACAGTTTCCAGTTTTATACACTGACAAATTCCTTTATTTCTCGGTGTTAGTGACAGTTAAAAATAATTTATTCTTTCCTTCTCCCAAAAAAAAAAAAAAAAATCGTTACTTTTGTTATTATATAGGATTAACGGAAAAGTAATACAGGATTTCAGATCTTTAGTCAGATCCCCTCTTTTTATGAAATGTTTTCGTTAGATTATTCTTATTCATGAGCGTCACCACTAAATAATCTGCTTAAAACAATATTTTTAAGATTATAGCTTTCGTTATTGGCCAATAATTCAGTATTTATTTATACGCCAAAGTGTTTGAATTTCTTTTCGAGTATTTAAATTCAGAAATGTTAATGAAGTCTGGAGCGAATGATGTTAGCGTACATCGTACAGCATCGGATCAAAACATGTGAGTTAAATTTCAATCATGTGTCTTCATTAGTTGAAGTTAGAATAGTGTATATGGTGATCTTTGTATAAATAGTCTGAAAGTGATAAAGATCGCAGTATAAAGGAAGAATCGCTACACAGTAAAACATTATCGGTAATTACGGATTCTAATAGAAAATATGCTGAATAAAACATTTCCTATGACCAAGGGATTGTAGATTAAACCTTCATCGAGTTAAAAACACAATCATCTAATTTCTTGCGAAAGATGAAAATTTCTAAAAATAAATATACCTCTGCTATCCAAACACTCGCAGACAAATCCACAATTATAACTCTTGATAGTATTTCTATTTCAATAAACAAACCTTTGGTGTAATAAATATTTAGTACATACATAAATTTCCATACGACGCAGAAAATAAACACTTTACACATTTATAGAATAATATCATAAGTATTGAACCAATCGGAAAATAACAATTATAAACCGTGAGAAGAAATTGCTTTTTATAATCAAGTTAATCTGGATATTAGAATATTGAAAGTTATTCTTTAATTTTGTACATTTTAAATTTCAGTTAATGCTATCATTTGACTCGATGGTCGTCTGATTGAGATATCAATAAACTTGGAATCCTATAATTTCTAGAATTTGTTTTGTAAAAATAAGAGAATATGAAAAATAGAAAATAACGAGGGGAAAAACGCAATTTTGTGAAACTACGAAAAATATTTAATTGTTGGTGACCAACGCCGTTAATTAAAATTATATATTATTGTATCTTCTGGTAGTGAATAATAGAAATAAAATATAATTTAAAAAAAACGTAAATGTACGTTAAGGTTAGTGTTGTTTACGGTTATTGAACTTTAGTTATTCAGTTAGCAAGTTAAGAAAAAAAAAGAAAAGAAAAATAAGAAAGCAGAAGGAAAAATAGAAAAGAGGTGGGGAGTGCTGTGTGAGAGGGATTCAGAGATTTTTAAAGATTCTTTCTTCAGAGAGAAACCATATGATTTTGTTCAAGATTTTTTCATCATTCCCAAAGCAGCCGATGTATTTGCTGGTATTTATGTATACCAGAGTTCCTTAAATCACAGTTAATAACCCAATGTCGATCTGTTGCTGATTTATGCTTAGTCAGGACTACATTACAAGTGAAATCTTATCCATGTATGATTAGTAACATAAATACCTAATAGAGAATAGACAGCTAGATATACAATAAACAACACACCTCACATCAACAGATCAAACCAAACTCTATAATAATTAATCTCTTATTCATATTCGATAACTGCTAGTAGTAAATATAATACTATATTATTATATATTTGGCTATTATATATATGAAATGGATTTCAGATTGTAGCAACAATAACTAATAGGGATAACTGTGTATTAACCAAAAGCAAAGATGACATAATAATCGTTTCGAGCAAGTTGAATAACACATTATAAAAATGATCAAAATGACCACAGGAATTTTACTTATAAGGAAACTCTTGTTTCCGCTGACTGCAGGAAAATATAAAAAGATCAATCTTTTCTTTGAACGACTCTCTAAGAAATATATTTCTTCAGGATCGTGAAAATGCCTACTCATAGGCCAATCCTGCATAATTTTCTACTAAATTATCTATATTGAGCTCGTGATGTTAAGGAAAAGGGTTTCAACTGGACATTCGGCCACTAGCGGATCCAGGATTTATTTTTGGGGGACTTAAGCCCGAAAGTTTTTTTTTTCATAAAATAACTATAATTACTTTAGAAAAAAAGAAGGGAACTAACTACCTATATGAAATGGTGTTTAAGTGATTCCTAAAGCCCTTTTAAATGTAATTACACGAACAATAATACTTTAAGAGATACTATTTTAATATTTTTTTCGATAAAACATGGTTATATTTTACCATTTTGGGGGAGAGGGAGGGGCATCAGCCCGAAAGCCCCTCCCCTCCCCCCGTAGATCCGCCCGTGCATTCGACTAAATGCAATCCATCTTTTATCCCTATTTAAGTTAGTGTTTGTCATCAGCTTTGCTGCTCCTCTCGTATCATTCGTAACGATCTGTGAATTGAATATTTTTGTTTTTATGAATCTTTACTTTTTAGAGCTCCGTTATTCCGAAAAAGACGGTTTCAAATATTTTGACATGCACCGTTGCATGGGACAAAATCTAATTGTCAGGAGCCGCGATGTATAGGTATAGTGGAAGGGACCCAACTGCTGCGCCAAGTTTAAACATTCACTGTTTTCAATTTCACTTAAAATATACTAATTTGTTTAAGTAGATATGTGAATGTCCCTCTCAGGTCGGATAGGGTTATTCGCGTAGTTTTTAATTTTAACTTTTTCAGTTTTCAATTATTGACAATTTATATTCATCACCAACGGTCACGAATTTACACATGGTGCAACGAAAACAACAAATTTGAAAATACCTAAAGTATAATAATAAAAATTATTTTTTTTTTTTTTATTTAGAGCTCAAAGTGTTTAAAAACACCCACGGTATCTCATTGAATAATTAGTCACCAAATTTAGTAGCCGCTCTTTAAAAAATCGTAAAGTAGCTAAAAGAGGTCAACCCTAACACAAAAACCTCCTTGTAGTTTCAACATAATCGGATAAAAATAATATTATTATTATTAGTAGTAGTAAATAATAATAAATCATTTTATTTATGATTAAATTAACCTAGTTGATCATATAATAACAATAAAATTAACTCACTATATTAATTAACGATATAGTTATTTTTTATGTATATATTAGATAACTGCAGGCAATAGTTTTTTTTTATTTATTTTTTGTTTTGTTTTTAGAGGTGAGGAGAGATAGTTAATTTAAACAATAAAAATCTTCATAAAATATAACTTTCATTGCTCTGATTTAAATTTATGAAATATTAAATAAATACTTCGCAAATCAAATATCCAAATGTATCTTGGGCCTCGATTTGAACCGCAATTGATTTGAAACGATTTGAAGTGCAAAACATTTTGGTTTTGGGTTATTTCATTTATACCTAAATAGTTTTAATAATCAATAAGACATCACTTGCTGGTATTTACTGATCACTAGGATAAAACTTATATCAATATTATGTAAATTTATTATTATTTTTTTAAATGTATTATGACTACTAAAAAGTTGAGATTTGTCAGTGAAAAACAAACAAATAGCTCTAGGCACTACAAGCAAACATCAAAATAATTGGACAATACACATGAACATTAAAGTGTTGAAGCCGATATCAGTTGTTACTGAATTGTCAGAAAATAGTACAGTCAGATATACTGAGCAATATAAATACCTCGTTTATCTAATGTTATAAATTACGATCCGATTTAGGGATTTGTAGATTTCTTTAAACAACTAATATACACATATTAGTATAAAAGTATAAGGTAAACATGAAGATATCATAGGCAATGAACTTACAGGTGAACTGGCAATTTGAACAATAGTTTTTTTTTTGTTATAAAGAGGAAAACTGTCAGTACTGCTTTAGGAATACAAAAATAGTGATGCTCTAAGGAATAAATTTCTTGTATTATCCCTTGTACGTGCTTACCATAGTAACAGTGTACACGTTATAATTTAAAAAGAGAATATATTGCGGATGTAGTATTTAGCTTATATATCTTACATAAACAAATATGGACCAGTGAAAAAAATATATATTTTTCCAATTCAGGGGCGGGGGCTTCAGTCCGAAGGTATCCTTTTTTTTTAGAACTCCAAAAACTTGATAAACTGTTTTATTGGTACCTTGTGAAGTTCTTGGAGTTTTGGAGAATATTTTCAGTTGGCCGAATATGCATACTTCACTGTTTTTATTGAATATTTCAATTAAAAAAATAATAAGAGATTTAGCCGATGTCGCGAGTTTTCCCTTACTCGTCCCACTGTGCGGGGCGCCGCTCTGGAAGGGCACCCGTTGGGGGCGCCAGCCGATCTTCAGGGGCGCTTGCCAATTGTCAGAAATTAATAAAAAATACATAACATATTAAAATAATTAAATGTATCCTACCAATAAAGCAGCTGTATTAAAAAAAAAAATGTATGAAATAAAATTCAAATATTACATAATTTAAAAAAGCTTAAGAAATAAATTCAATATTTTTATTCGTCATCGCCCAGGGGCACCGAATGTCTAAGGCCAGTACTGGAAATATAGTCAGTTGTTTAGACACTTATTATTCTAATAGTTTCAAGTTACAATGGGTCACCCATTCCTGAATTAATATAATAACCATTAAGAAAGGAGACAAATACAGAGGTCACTTCCTTAGTCTCTAAAGGAAACCATGACTTCCTGGACAACTTCCAGCCGGCTTGGACAAGGCCGTATCAATAATATGAGAGGATCATGCCCATGTTCGTTTCTTCCCAATCTATAAAACATAAATAGAATCGTCCAAAGCTCATTCAGAGATCTGCAAGGCAGGACAGGAAACGGAACAGTTTGAGTACAACAAATACGAGTTCTATTTAAATTTAGCGTCCTTGTCCTTTTGACGATAGTTCCGATCCCAAACGACCTTTCTTCTCCCGAGCCGGACGAGGACTGGCGGAAGGGGGGCTCTCGAGAGGGGGGAACGGTCTCGCTGGCACAGTTCGCGGCTTCCGCCACCACGGCCTCCTAGTGTACCGCATTCAGCTCTTTAAAATATAATTCTTATCAAGTTTACGCAAATCATCTCTATTTAATTCAGTGATCATCGAATTGTTCTTAATTTCGATCATTATTATGTATATCATATATCTATTTTTAAACTAATTACGTCGCTATCCAATGTAAGTACCTGATGTAAATAATATTTTTATCATACCTAATAGAAATATATGTTGCACAGTCACGTCATTTACTATAATTAAATTATTTATTTCCGAAGTTAACCCTCATCGTCATTGAACAATTTTCAGGAACCGCAAAAACACTATATTTTCTATTCGAATTGTAACATGAGAACCAATATTTTTTAACAAATAAATTAATAATTCCGTTATTTGGAGAACATAATTCTGAAAAGCAATGATTATTTCAATAGTAATTAAAAACATTGAAACGTGAATAAGGCCGCTTTTGGAAAGAATTAAACTTCAAGGTCCGTTTTTAACAACAAAAAAGGGGTTGATTGGGCTTCGCTTTGAAAAGAAAAAATTGATTTTGATTCGGGGAGGAGAGAGGGGAGTTATATAAATCGTACTATGAAAAATTAACTTTTTGTTTACGGTAAAATTTGTTTATTTTCGATGTTTATTTGAATAAAACGTTTAAAACAGCTTTTGATAATAAATAGCTTCATTCTTGAATGACTGTTTATCTCGATTTCAAAAAAAAACTATTTGGGCTCACTTTGGCGATACAATTTTACTACATTATTAGACACCCGATAATATCGATTCAACAAAGATTATAATTATTGCAACTCTTATATGACATTTAATACTAATAATCCTTAGAGAAATTCAAAACCGAAAATCAAATCATAAAAGTTCATTTTATTTTATTTTCAATATTATTAGAATATACCAACTTATATTTTAATAAAAAAAAAATGGAGGGAAACACAATTTAAAATAAAATAATTTATAGCGAATAGTGCATTTAAAAAAAAATCTTAGAGTAAGATCTGGTTGGTATAAATCGCCATGGTTTGTTGGTACGGTTTAATAACATGTTCGTTTGTCTTTTCACTGTCTCAGAAACGAATTCAGGATTTAATTTTGTATGACAGGAACAATATATTTGTTACTAGTAGATATGATTTTCATGGTTTCTTGACTCCAGCTCCAGCTTATATTTAGTATCTGAAGTAGATTTAAACCGAGAACACATTAACTTTTTAAAACTTATAACTTACAGAGAACTTATTATTTGTTTGTATATTTGCCTAAGATCACTCATAGAAACAAATATAGAATAATAAAAAAATATTTTTTTGTCTATTTTGAGCATGGAGGAGAGTCTTCAACCCAAAAATCCCGCCATTCTCGAACTTTAATTTACACCAAGTCTGTTTGTTTTTCCAACTAAATTAGAGTTCCAACTAAATTAGATTTGAACGATTTCAACAATCGATTTACAATGCCTAAGAACTGTTTAAATTTTTAATCAAATCCTTGGTATTAAGGCATGACCTCTGTTTATTTCAAAAAGTTACTAAGTGGTTCACATTCTTGATGGAGCTAAACTTCAAAGTGCATCATAATTACCTAATCCAAATATCGTTGTCTTAAACATCAAAATAACGCAAACGCTATTAAATGTCAAAATAATTACATTAAGTGCACAATGTTCTGATTTTCATAAAAGTAAAATTCATCATAATTAAAAATTCACAAATTCACTTAGAGAGAAGGAAATTTTCTAAAATGTTACTTAATGGCTATTCGTAGTAAACCAACGGTATTGTTGTTATGATTTGTACAATGTATGATAATTCTAAACCTTGATAAAAAGAACCTGATATAAATTTACGATCAAAAGTCGATTGAATGTATAATTGTTTAGAAAAACTCAAGAACGGCGCCAAATACGAAACCAATAATTACTTAGTTTTGATGATAAAACACTTCATTCCACTGCATAATTTAAGTTTTCTAGATTTTTTTTTTTTATTTCCTTGATTTAAGATCAACATGAAACGTTATAGTTAACTACTGAATTAATGAATTAAACATTTTACAATTAAAAAAAAAAAAAAAAAATTATAAAAATAACAAATTAGCTGTACTAGGTTGTGTTGGCTCTTAGGCCTACTTACAAGGACAAACCTATGAGAGCCAACTTGGTTTGGCAAGAAAAAACTTACTAAGCCTAAAATCATATTCATAAATCAGCTGAATTACAGAATGATTTAATCAAACACATTTCAAATATAAAGTATAAGTTAACATCCTTCTCATATGCCTCATTTTCTCTTCATACATTCCATTTTCACCTTTACAAGGAAAGGAGTGGGAGGGGAAGAGGCTTTTGAGTGAAAAGGTGCGCTCATGACTTATTTGCCCAGGGATTCCAAGTTTTTAGGCTGACACTAATATCTGGTTAGGAACCAACTATATAAAAATTATTTTTCTATGTTAATTTTTGACACTAATTATGTAATAACATATGATTTATTTCTAGGGAGGTGCTTACAGCATGGATCAGAAGGCACAGTGCTACAATCAAACACATTCCATCAGAAAATGTACATTCGCTCCTTAGTGATATGCATCTGTGCCCAACTCAGGCCCCAGGTATTTTGTTTATATTTAGTTCATGGACTGATAAATGTACGAGCTCATTCAATTTTAAAAGTAAATTTAGAAATACATATGATAGCAATAATTTTATATATGTTTATATATATAAACATATTAACTATACTTTATATTTATGTGTGTATATATATATATATATATATATATATATATATATATATATATATATATTATATATATATATATATATATATATATATATATATATAATGTGTTTGCCATAAATTATAGACTGTAAATGTTGTTTATCTATTGAAATTTGATTATTTACCTAATAACATATATTAATTTTGAGAACTATAGACATTTCATTATTTAAGCCTTGGAATTGTAGGGAAATAGAGATGTTTTCTCAAAGATTATTAAAAAATAAAATTCACTTACATTTCATAATAACCTTTATTTGTATATACAATACAAAAACATATTTTATATATACACATTTATACATAAAATCTTTACATTTTGATTTTTATCCAATATTCTGATAAGTACTAAATCAACATTTTAGTTGAGGTTTTGAGTTGGATTTTTTTCTAACTCTCTTGCAACCATACTGAGTAATGAACCTGTCCCATCTGTTTCCACTCTTTCCTCTCCAATGCTACTTTCTTCCAGGTTGCTCCTTCCCAGGTCTTCTTCATTTGTGTCCCAGTCTGTCGGTGGACATCCTGTCTTCTCGTGTTGTCTTGGATACCAATCCATAAATAGCCTGATCCATGTTATATTATTCTTCCTAATTACATGTCTGGTCCAGGTCCACTTCCTGATGTCCACTTTTTTTTTCAATATCTCAAAGGTCACTCTGAGGATAACAGTCAGTCCTTGACTGTTACCCTCAACTTGTGACAAGTCTTCTGGTGTATTACCCATTTTTCATATCCGTTGGTCTTGACAGGAAGTACTGTGCTCATCCAGAGTTTCCTATTTTCATATCTTTATCAAACCAGCCTTTTTTTTAAATTTCTCTTTCCCCAAAGCCCAAATTACTGGCTTTTATAATATCATTCCTAATTGCATCGTCCACTCATATTTTTACAATATTTTTTCTATCCTGCTCTAGTGACTAATCCAATTTTGGATCTCCGGTGCAAATATATTTACCTATAAACAAAGTTACAAATGATATATATATATACATATATACATAAAAATAAAATTTTAATGATAGTTTAATTGTTTTTCTTCAGTTCAATTATTTTTCTGTTGATTGAATATTATTTTATTTTATTTTATTTCTACAATTTATCATTTATTATTTATTACATGTTTTTTTTTCATTTTAACTATATAAATATAAATGTATCATGTTCATTTTATGTTACTTCAATGTCACCTAACATTGTCACTTGAAACCGTTGCAAAGTTAATGTGATATTTTCCTTATAAAATGAAATTTCCTTAATCATGGCTTGTCTAATGCTTCCACTATCTTCTTTAGATTCTATATTTTATTTTTTATTTTTAAATATCCTCATGTCTTATATTACATGGAATATTGTCAATTAAACTGGAAAAATGGTAGTCAAATGATTTGATAATTTAAGCAAAAATAAGCAGAAAAAAATAATAGTGATTTTCTAGAGCTCACTAATCAAAAATTAAATTAAAGAATCTTGTATGGAATACAAGACAAAATAGGAAGCAATATGAATTCTAGTTCAGATAAACATAATACAGTTTATATGGTCAATTTTAGCCTATCAAAATGAAAATATTATCAGAATGCTAATCTCTTGATCCTTCTAGCAATATACTTCATGAAGTCACTTTATATTTAACATTATTAACATATGTTTACTTAACCTTTAAAAAGTAATGAAATAAATTATGAAGTATAATTCATGTTCTGTTTAAATTTTACCTATGCAATAACTTCCTTAAAATATTGTTGGAATTTTTACTTATACATTTTTATTATTTAATATTTTTCAATATTATCTGGGTAATTGTAAACTTGCTTTTTCTAATAATGAATAATGAGTTTCAAGAATCAGTGATTTTACTTTTGTAAATTTCCTATTCAATTATTATTATTTTCAATAAATTGTATTTAACATTTTTCCCATTTTTCTTGTTGTTGTATTTATTCAATAAATAATTATTTAGTAAGAGTCAACTTTATTTTGAAGTTATACTTTGCAAGTATTCAATTTTTCCAAGCCATTATCTGCCTTATTTGTGTGTTGTTTTGGTTGTATTGATCTTGTTCTGTATTGATTAGTTGGTGCGATGCTTGAGTGCGCTAAAGAGGTAGGAGAGAGGGGTAACCACCTCAACTATGGGGGCATTTATACAAAAGAATTGTTTTCTCAACCCAAACGATCCCGTGGGTAAGTTAAATTTAATAATTTATGTTATTTTGATATTTGCTTTAAATATCATTTGATTATTATTTCACGTTATTGTAATAGTTTTTACAAGTTGTTATTGTTAGCTGTTGTAATTCTTATTTAGAAAAATAGATGAATAGAAGTACTTTTTAATCATGAGAGACGGACAAAGACTGAAACCTTTTAAAACTCTACACACATGGTTAAATAAAGACTGTTTACTATTACATCACGGATATAAATAATCACCAGTTTAGCCAACTGGCTTGTAACTTTTTAAATAATTACAATCAAAAATAAAATCTAAGTCTTTATGGAATTTATGTATAATTTTTTTAATTAATTAAAAACAAATTCTATGTTTACTTTAACAATTTAATATAAATTGTTGATTAATAGAAAAAAAATTAAATTAAATTAATAAGATTATAAAGGATATAAACCATTAATTCCAAATCATAAAATTTCTTTAATATTCCATTCAACAAATAGTTATATGTTTTATATTCTATATAGCAAATAATTGACACTATATGTCCATACATTTATAACTATTGCCATCTATAAATTATTACTAATTATAATAAAATTATTAATAAATACAAATTAAATTTATCTATATTGTTTAAGAATTCTGGGTTGAATAAAGATTTAAAATTTAGTAGTATTTCCGTGATTACTCTTGGTCACTTTAATTTGTAACTAATATTGGTGAAATAATGACTTGAAAATTTAAAAGTTTTAGAAAATTACAAAGTTTCATTGTTTTGAAAAAAGGATTTTTTATTTTATTAATTAATTAAACCTTCAAATTTCTATTGAAATTATTTGTTAGAACTATTGCTCAATTTTCTTCATTTGAAATCTGTAATAATTAATTATTGCTATAAAAATGTTACTCACTCCTTCTTCAGAGATGTGAATCATCATTATTCTCATGAGAAATTGATTTGTATGATTACATTTTAAATTTCACTAAAAACAAAATGTAATGAGAAACTTTTTCAGATAAATATATATGAGGGTATTTTATTTTAAAAAACTAAATGGATAGCTGATTAATCTAAATAAATTGTTTTTGTTATAGGAATTCACGGCATATAAGTAAAAACTTTGACAGAAATGGTCAAGAAAAAAAGAGGAGGTCAAGGAAAATGTACAGTAAGTTATAAAAATAATAATGCTTTGGATATATACTGGCTAGAAAAATATATAAGTTCTAAATGATTCTTTCCTTTTTTCAGAGCGGAATGTTGGGCGTGATGTTTTCCTGGGTGGCTCCTGTAACCCAACAACCTGGCGTAAAGATGAAGCAATCCCCCTCTTAGAATCCCTTGGGATCTCATACTTCAATCCTGTTAGTTTTTTTGAAGAAATACAGACTTTGTTTATTTTTTTTTTTAAGTTGAAACATTTTCAAGCAATTGAAGCAATCATATCTGCTTTTAGCAAGTCAGTGAATGGACAGCCGATTTAGTTGCTATTGAACATAATGCCAAGGAATCAGCTTCTGTATTATTCTACGTATTAGACCGACGCACTCGAAATGTCGTTGGAATAATTGAAGCAGCCAATTTTGCCGGAACTCAAAGGAACCTTGTTCTTGTCACTGATCCCTATAAAGAGGGTGAGCCAGTTGCTGGAGAAAACATTTCACATGTGTATGTCTGTTTTTATTAAGTCAAAATTTAGTATTGTTTTAGGAACAAATTATTACAAATCCTTCCCAAAGATCCAAAACTCAATTGTATTAATTTATATTTAATTGTTACAATGAAATGATTTATATTAAAATAAATTATACTCTCACAATATAATATAATATAATGAATATAATCTCACAATATTCATCAGTCAACTTCATCTGTATAGTTGAACTCAAACAAATTTGGTTTGTGTAAATTTTGAGATAAAAGAAAAATTAGGTATTGTTTATTTCACATTTCAAACATACTATTAACGTACTCATTCAAACATGCTATTAACTATACTACAGCATATATCAACAAAGCACCCTTAGCACTATCTACATATTTTCTCTCATCTGATCTTAGATGGCAGAAGATAGATTTAGATCTATATTCCACAGGTCTCATAAACCAATTTTCTAGCATAAGTACAAAGGTTTTTTTAAAAATCAGTAGAAATATTAAAAACATAATTTACTTGTGTGTTAAGTGGGTTTACTTGTGTTATCTTTGGAACAGCTAAAGAATGTTTATAAAGTTTTAAATGCTGTAACTTATTACAATATAGCTTTTTTATTTCCACACTCTGATCATTGTTTACTTGTATCATTTCTAACATTTTTGAGTCTTAAAAGATAATAGAAACACAATCATATTTGAATAGACAGTTATTAGTAAACATTTATTATTTATTTACCATACCATTAATAATATGTTAAGTTTATACCTGAGAATCCAATATAACACAATATTATCAAATCATGAAATGGCTAAACATTATTGGATCCACAATTCGCTAATAAAATCAAATTAAATTTATCAACATACAGAAATATATTTATTTATTTTATTTATTTATTTTATAGAGAATATGAGGAACTGTGTAGCGGCTTGTCTACTTTACATGATTTAGTTGCAAGCCAAGGCATAATAGTTCATAGCAATATCGCAGATGGAATTAAATGGGCTGCTAAGGTATGTCTTCTCCCCTAAGAATAATATTTTCATTCACAATTATTACCTTTACATTAAAATATATATATATTTTTTTTTTTTTTATATCAAGATCTTGGGAAATCATACAAAGTCTCGGAATAAAGAATCCTTTAAAGAATCATTAAAATTTTTAAATGGCACAAAACATGAGGAAGTTCTGAGGTATATATTTAATTTATTTATAATAGATAAATTAACAAATATATATATGTATATACAGATTTTAATATAATAATTTCTTTTTAAGGAAAAATAAAGAAATCATGAACAACTCAGAAAAAACTGATGTGAGTACTGATTATTACCCTTAATTACAAACAATCTTTTTTTAATTTATTTAATTTGTTAATTTAAAAATGTTTTTGCAGGTTCATTTCCCTTATTATCTATCAACAAATAAAACATTAACAGATCTGAATGGACTTCCTGCAAAAGGTATGTTTTGCTATAATTAAATGATATTTATTTTAGATCTGATATATCTAGATTACCTGTGACACTTGAAATGTCAGATTTATAAATGAAATAATTAAAATATTAAGTGATCACAAACAAAATAAGTTAGAATAGTCTATAGAAGATTAAAGTTTGGTCCAATTCTTCTCAATGATTAATTATTACCCATTTCAAGATTGACCATGCTGAACTTCCAAAGCTTACAAATTTATATTCTTGGGTAGTCACCAACCCAAGGAATAATATAATTCTGAAAAAATTAAAATCCCCATTATTACAATCAGATGCATTACAAAAGTAAAAAAAACTTTTTTTAATAAAAATTCCTATAACTAGAGTAAATCATTAGTTATGGTCACCTCACCTGTTGTTAAGCGCATTCTTTCACGATTTTCAAATAAATCAGCTAATGCTCAACTACTTTGTAATGGCACCTCACCAGTTATATGCAAGCTTTCACTATTTTCAGAAAAATAAGCTCGGGTTCAACTTCTTTGTGATGGGCCCTCAGGCGTAGTATTCCTCTGAAGTATTTATGATTCACTTATTAGTGATTCCCAATCCTCCAACTCTATCCTCAGGTTTATAAAATATTTCTTCAAAATTGAGCTGTGAAATGTCTACACAAGGGTGTAGAATGAGTGATTTTACTAGAGAAAATTCATTTGTGCAATTTTTTAATCAATTTTGGCTTTTAAGGTTTTTATCTTTCCGTTTTAATATATGCTTGTATTCATACCCCTTTGTTTTGAATTTTGTCATTGAAATTCGAATCTTAACTCAGTCCATGTTTCTTAGAATATACTTTATAAACTATGTTAGTATTTTAATTTGTTAATATGATAAAAAGAAGACAATTATTTAATTTTTTTGTATCATGTCTATAACTAGATTTTACTAAGGCCATAACCCATAATACTTCATGCCTATAACTGGTAATGTAGCCTTTTGATAAAAATTTATTTTCGAAAAAAATACTGTACATTTAGCTCTAAAACATTTAATAGAACAAGGGATTATGATTTTCACTTTCACTCAGTAAGGGAAAGTATTGCAATCGTGAAAATTTTGAATCTAAATTTTGAGATTCCCTAAGTCCAAATAACCAAGTCCCTCAAAATGTTCTGTGTGTCTGTATGTCTGTGTGTATGTAAACAGTTTAACTCAAAAAGGAAAAGTCTTACAAAACTGGTATTACCTATTTAAGATAGGTATATGCCTTAGATGTGACAGCAACTTTTTTCTTAAAATTAGCTAACCGGAAGTGCCATTTTATATTAATGATGAAACAAATTTTTACAATTTTCTCAAAAATAGCTGCAACGATTTTGATTAAACTTGGTGTATCATTGTGTAATTAAATGGTCTTTAATATCATTTAGGTCTTATTCTTATTCATGTCCCATTACAATGTTCATATACATCTTCCTCTACAGTACCTTTGGTATGGTTTATTTTAAAAAAAATAATTGTCTTTTATTGACAATTACTATAAAAAATGGCTAAATGTGAAGTTTGAAAGAATATGATAGTTGGAAACTGGAGAAAATAAGAAAAATGCTTATCCAGGTTGAAAATGAATCTCGGGAAATAACAGTCAGAAGTTAAACGTATAATATATCGTTGGAAAGCAGAGAATTTTAGAAAAAATAATATCAAATAGATAAAGTTGTAAAACGTAATGGAGAGTGGCGGAAAAATATAAATAATAATTTCAAAAAACTAACAGTATTTAACGTAAATCATATTTTTCCAAGAAAATTAAATGAAATATTCTTACTAAATGTAAACTTTTAAATTTTTTTCTAAGTTTGAAAAAAAAAGTATTTAAAATCCACTGAATCAAACCAATACCATTGTTTTAAATAATACTTCATTGAACTTGTGTGAAAGAATTATTGAAATATAACAATATTTAATGGATATGCTTATAACCTTAAATACATTTAATGTAGTTTAATAACTCAAGATATGATATTATATTTAAATAATTAGGTAACAACGTCCATTTATTACAAAAAATCGTCATGTGACTTTTTAAAAAATTGAATTAGTGAATAATTTGATGAATTTTTCCTATGTGAAATCCAAACAATATCCTCTTAAAATTAGTGTGACTCTTTTGACCTATCTATGGCAAGCAATGGAAATCTCATACTTTCATTTTAGTAAACTTTACAATGGAAAATAACAGTTGATTAACTAATAATCTCACAATCCATAATCATCTATAGGTTAAATATTCAGATATACTTTCAAATCTCTCTAGGCATATATTAGCCTTTCGCCTGACAGAATGACTAAACCCAATTTCTACATTCTTTATTATTAATTTTAGGGAAGTTTCTAGTGAAAAATTTATACCTTTATTCACAGTACTGTATTTCAACACTGCTACCACTTATTCTGGAACCAACTTACTGTCTGTATATATATAAATTTTCCAACTAGAAGTATCACTAAAATGACTACTCAAAATTTTTTAAATTAGAGTTAGTCATTCTGTCAACAGAAAGGCTCAGAGACTGAAGTTGTTTGGTTTATAAAAGAAGATAGAGTAATTAGATTTTTGTTGCCTACCATTGATAGATAAATAAATAGACTATTTTATAATTTTAATGATCTTAATGATTTGTTATCTGTAAGCTTTAAGGTTTGGCTCCTTTTAAAATGCACTTCAAAAATTTTATAATAGCCCAACATTGCCAGAAAACAATTTCTATGCAAAGTAGAGCGAAACAGCGTAAGTGAAAGTTGTGTGTTGCACGCACCTGATTTTTAAATACGTAATAAAAAATTCTTTCTGGCAAACTATTTTGGTGATTTTCCCATTTGCATCAATCAACTTCCTTAGCTATAATTATAACCCATAATTTACATTATTAGTAAATATTTTTTGGTTTGTTTTTATCATCTTATTTATTGTTTTAGCTGATCCCAATGATGGCATTAAAATCAACTTTCAGCAACTTAAATTGATGATGCGAGGACAGAATGCAACTTCAGATAGTAAGTATACAATATAATTTCTCTGCTACAGTAACTTTTATTTGTAATAAAATAATTTATGGAAAAATTTTCTATGATAATTAATGGAAAATTTGTATTCCATTGACCTTTTTTCTACTTATCTATTGTCTATTATTATTTATTCTTAATTTTGTTAGTCAAACACTTATAAATAGAAAAAAATTATATGTTACCATCGACATACTTCTTATTTAGCTATTTCATTTTATGTTTTCAGTCAATCGGATGTACTGCAATAGTTCCCTTAATGGCACCTCTTGTCGATATGATATTTATATTGGTGGTTCATGTTTTGATTACGAATGGAAAGAAACCTTTGCTCTTCCTATCCTCAGGTAAATATTTATTTTGATTAAATATTAATTTATATTCTGCTTTAATCTTAGTAAAATAATTGGAGAGTTAATTTTTAAAAATAACTTATCAGTAAAAACTGATAATTCTGAGAAATAAAATACTATCTAACTGATACTCCTCTGTTTTATGACTAAATTACTTGATTTTCCATATAATAGTCATATACATAAAGTCCTTTATTAAGATGCTTATAGGGTTTTTACCAGGTGATGGCATGATTATGAGAAAAAAATAATAAAAAACTAAAAGTATTGAAAACTAGATGTTAAAAATAATCAGTTATATGTTTTTTTTTCAGAAAATGCATGAATTTAAGTTTTATTACTTGCAGATATTCATCACTTATAAATTTTACAGTTAAAGCTAAAATAAATTGTTCACTAAAATTATTGATACCATACTTGCCTAGTTAAGGATTTCATTTACTTTTTTTCTCTTTGTTAAATAGATATTAAAATTAAAGGAAAACCTAATTATGACATTACAGACATAGCATCTCACTTAAACATATGTATTTGTAGGCAAAGCCGTTTGAAATACACTTTTGCCGAGCGTGGTTCTCTGAAGAGCAGTCGTGCAAATCAGCATGAAATAAAGTCAATGGAGGACAGCAAAGTTTTACTCTTTATCATCACATCGAGAACAAGGGGCTTGGAAACAATGGTGCTGGTATGTATATATATTTTTTTCTATTACCTTCCATGCAGTCTTTTATCCACTATTGTAGTATTTATTGTTGTGTAGAGGATTCCTAATTGATTATTTCAAGCAGTATGCCTCACTTACCTTAACTTCTTCCACTTAATATCTTCAGATATAGACCGTCCAAAATACTATAAGCAGTTCTTTGTTGATCCATCTCCTCCTTGTGTTAGTATTCTGATTTTAGATCACTCCAGTTACCATGCACAGGAATTTCCTCTGAAATCACTAAATTCTTCTTTCTGGGGTACATGTCAGAGTTCAGATTTCGGAACGATATATTAACACTGGCAATAACAAATATGGAGTAAAACAGCAATGTACACTCTGAAATTTCCACGCATTTCAATATGAGATTTCCAGACATTATTCAGGTTTTTAGAACTCTTGAAAGAGTGAGGAAAGTTTAATTTGCTCTTTATATATGTCTACTATTTCAGGTAGTTGTTCATTTATTAAGGGAATTGTGGATACGAGGTATTTGAATATTCCTACTCTTGGCAAAAATTTTCCATCAATGTAGATCCTGTTGCTGCGATAGGTTTTTCACCTTACCATCAAATTGTCAGCTTAGTAGAAAAAGTCACTAAGTACATTTTTGACAGATCTTAATTTTTAAGCACATTTTTGTTAATTTCAACCTTATTTATGAGTACATAAACACAGTAAATCCTTAAGAATAAGAAAAACCCTTTTATATATCATAAAAATTTTTATACTAAGTACATTTTGTAATATAGTTGAAGGGGCATATATCAAAGTACTTAATGATATTATTTTATAAGGTGTTACTAAATGAAATTTTGCTATATACTGAAAATATATTAGTATGTGTTATTTTATATATATTTGTGTATATCAGCAGCTTCAATGCAAAAGCCAAGGCCAATAAGAGTAAAAACTAAAATTATTTATATGACAGAATTAACTGCCTATTTTTTATATTGTTTACAAGATTTTCTGTTCAGTTTTATTGCATGCTTAAATGAAGATTTGATGTTTTAAATAACGTTTTTGGTTTGTATTTCCGAATAAACTCAAGACCAAGATAGACCAGATAAGCTCAAAACCTCACTTTCTGATAAAATTGTACATACAGAATTTTGCAGTGTGACTGTGGATACAGTAAATAGATATATTACATAAAAATAAGAAAATACTTAAATTATTTTATTTGAATTTGAATAGGAGTCAGTTCAAGAAATTTCAATGTCAATTTAAAGCATTTTTCATATAAGTTAAAATTTAATGATTTTTTTTGTATATATATTCACAAATTTATTCATTCATTTTTGTTTCAGGCTTCTTACTATATCGGCTGTGGTAAGAATGTGGTACTTTGTATACAGAATCTTACGGAAAATTCAGTAATCGAAAATGAAACGGTAAATACATAAAATTTTAAACAATAGTTTTTAGTTGAGTATTATTACATTAATATATTAAGTCAACTCTATTTAAACTCCATTTAGTCCAATTAAGGACTAAACAACCTACATGTTGTCCTAACATAATGAACAACATTATTGAAATGGTGACAACTGCTTAAACGTTCCCAATGTATTAAGAAAAGTAAAAAATGGTGGAACAAATAAAGCCTAAACACTTTATTATGAATCTAATTTCACCTTAAACTAAAATATACTTTATTAAATTTCAGTTTAAGACATCAGACTTTTCAATTAAAACCTCTTAGAGGTATTAGAGAAGCTCTTTGTTACAACTTTATATACTAAACTGAAACCTTAGGTAGGAAATCTGAAGTTTCTAGGCCACATGTGCCCTCAATGAGCTAATTGCAGCCTCCAAACGTTTTTGCTCAATATTTATTAATCTATCGATTCATTTTTATTTTACAAATTAGTTACAAAAATTTGCAAATAAATAGCATTAAATTTAATTTATTTATGTGGGTATGTGTATTTAGTGATAAATAAAAATGGCAACAATAATGTATAAAAAATTGCTAACTGTTGAGGCCTCCATTAGCACTTTCTAACCCTAATGCGGTCTCCAATTATAAAAAGATTCCCTACCTATGGAATATACCAATAGTTAGTAAATAAACATGGACTCAATACAAACAATTTCATTTCAAAGTACAAGAAGATTAAACCAGAAACCTAATCTCATGTCTTTTAAAAATGTACCCGTTGCAAGAAGAGTTATCACTCTATATTGTTTTTTCTCATTCTTGACATGACATTATCATATAGAATATTGTGCAAAGCTATCTTAATTTAAAGAAAGGAAATTGTATTTTTGTGAATAAACGTTTAATTTTATAAATTTTAACCTATATTGCATGAAAATTCAGCTTTCTGTACATCAATAACATTAAAAGATTTGATAATCATTCTATTTCCCATCTCACATTTCTCATAGTGTATGATATACTCTATCTTCTATTTGATAGTGTATGAAAGATATTCCTTATCACAGCAGGAGTACTAAGATTAACACCATGATTAATGTCTGAATATTTCTTGCATAAACATAGTTTGATTTTGGTATTATTCCTTACATAAAATAAGGTTGTATAAAAGTTAAATATCATGACTATATCTGTGGAGAACACATGTGCACAAAAATAACTGTAGTTCCTTTTCTAAATCTCATTGATAAATTAATATGATAGAAATGGTTAGAGGCTAGAGTTCTTAGACTGATTAAAAGGGCAGAACAGTTAATATGAGCACTTGAGAAACAATTCTATTATACCTAATAATACCTAAATGTTTTATTAAACCTTTTAGACACAATCTTATTCTGTATATTTTTTCTTTTATAGCTGTCAAAGGTTGCTGTAAATGACTATAACAGGGGTCGGGTTTATTTAAGAGATCTTGCATCTCGTTCTGGTGTTCCAGTCTACGAGAACGTCGCCGATGCCGTCCAAGCAGCAGTAGCGAAATGTAACAATTCATTTAATGCCTTCAGGTAGCTCGCCTCCTAATACTTGTGTGCATTCTGAATCAGATCATTATAAATATATTTTTAATTAATGAATAACTAAATTTAATTTATATTATTTAAAATAAACAGCTAAATAATTTATGGAAGTATAAAATCTTAAAACAATGTTCATTATTATAACTTTCAAGTTTAAACTAGTTTTTTAGAAATTTTTTAAAAGGAAAACTGTAACTTATAATCCTAATTTAGTAATGTAGCAATTAAGTGCCTGAATTCTCTAAGGAAATATTACTAGTATTGAAGAATAATCTCATTAGTGTTTTTATAGTTGATTAGATTTTTTTTCATTTTTTTATCGATGTAACTCAGCCAAGTAGACTAGGAAAAGCAAACATCACATTTTTCTGTACGTATTTTTCATCTTGTTTAGAAAGATTTTATTTTAATCTAAAAAACAAATAATTTTAAATGTTTTAAAACAAAATAATTTGTTTAAAATTTTAAGTACTAACAATTTTTTAAACAGAAAAAACAATTAAACAGTTTTTTAAACAAAATAATTAAGTAAAATTATAACTCAAATGATTTAATAACAATATTAACATGAATTTTGTCTTTATTATTTTAGTAATACAAAAACTGTAGTCACTATGCTTATTATAAAACAAAGTAGGTTTGGGGCACTGTAACTTTTCTAATTGTTTGAAGGTTTTTGATAAATATTTTTAAAAAATACATTAATATTTCTGAATATTGAACTTATAGGTTTCTTGAGGAAAAAATTATAATTTTTTACCATATGTAATTTACACTAAAAACATATTTCAATTAAATTTTAAAATTTCATGGATTATTTACAGAAATAAATTTCAAAATATGTTCCTCAGTTTGGAATGCAAGTATACATATATTTAAATAAAAAAAAATTTTTTGAATAAATATTCAGACAATATTTTTAAACGAAATATCAAGATTCCTGAATCAAAGTCTAAATGTAGAAGTCCAATGTATAAGTGATAAACTGTAAATTGATTTTGTTATGGGGAAAATTTTATCACTTTGAATAATTTTATTCAAATAAGGCAATGAATAATAATTTTAAATTGCCAATATAATATATTTTTTTATGATATCAATACAGGTTAAACTGTAAGTGTACAGATGAAAGCTCTCTGTGTATAAGAATGATTTTAACTTATCTTTTAAAGCAAAAAAATGTTTTATATTAAAGATGGAGTTGTCATTATGTTAAACATCACATGAATTATGCATTTAAAGTTTCATATTTCGGATTATCACTAATTTTTATTTAACAAACGACTTATGTTTTTATACAAAAATTTAAAAAAAAATGTTAATAAGAAGTTATGTGTAATATTTAACAACATTGTTTAATAAATGAAATATTAATGAAATAAATGTGATATATTTGTTTCTATTCTAGTTTATATTTTAGCTAGGCAGTTGTTGCCCACAGCTAATCTTGATACTAATTGTGTTATCAAACATTTTATTTTTTTATTATATTGTATATGTATATTTCTATCACGTTCAAACTAATTTTGTAATTAATATTTTTTTGTTCTCGTAATTTATGTAATGTCTTTACTAAAATATTTGTGTTACTTTTATACGACAATTTGAATAGTTCTAATGGCATGAGCTTATGTGAAAAGTAGAGAAAATGGTGTAGATTTTTTAATCAGTGGTGAATATAATTTGGAAAAGGTTTCAAGCTAGAATATTAAAAGAGTGATATGGAATTGAATTGAAAGACCAGATAAGTACCTGATACATTTGTTTTAGATTTGTGTTTTATGAATTGTTTTTGAGGTACAGAAATCTAGGGGTGAAACGACTTACTTTTGTCAGATTTATTATTTTCTTTTTTAATTGTTTAATAAAACATATAAAAGGGAAACTCACTCCATCCTAACATATATTTTTTTCATTTATTTTTAAGATTTTAAATAATACTCATAGTTTTATAATATGTATTGGTAATTCATAGCCTTTAAGTCAGTATTTATATCAAATAAGAATTTTACATTCAAACTAAAGTTACTAACATATGTACTTAACTGTTAATGCATTTAATTAATGTTTAGTACCGATCATTTCATTTTTACCACGTAATGCCTGTCGAGTTCTTTGTAGCAAATATATCTGATTTTTAAAATATATTCATCTAATGAAAATAATGTACAAAATAGAGAATATTTTTTTATTAGTAAAAAAGAAAAATTTTTTTTATTATCCTTTTCCTTCAGTGCTTCAGTGGGTTAATATTGGTTAATACGATGAAAGATGAAAAAATCAATATATATATATATATATATGTATATAATATATATATATATATATATATATATAATATATATATATATATATATATATATATATATATATATATATATAAATATATATATATATATAAGTATATTTACACAAAGTAGCATACTTACACAAAGAGGAGCTTAATATATGTGCTGGTGGACTGTGCTGAGACTGTCGGTGTGTCCCTGGCCTGAGGTATCGAAGCTCTATTTCTAAACTTTGAAGAGGATCCCATTGTTAACTTATAAAAAAAAAAAAAAACCGGGATCGAAATGTCGAATAAACATAGAAGCAATGAACATTTAGTAGTTTATTGAATAATTAATAAGTGACCTTATTCCCAATAAAATAATTATGTTTAAATATATATATATATTATAATTTATTTGCTTATTGATAAAGTAGGTATATTAAAATGTGCTTATACCATCTTTTTTTATAAAATTAGCCCATTACAATGCAAATCAATAGAAAATAATACTACCAGATTATATATCATGTTCTATAGTTATAATGAAGATAGAACAATATCAATTACAAGTTGGTTGTGTGAATAATTCACAAAGCACATTGGTCAGTGAACAAATGACAAAATAATAAAGAAATCAAATCATTCAACATTTCACAAGATGGAGAAATCATTTCATATTTTTCAGTAATTGTAATCGACCAAGAAAAGGAAACTTCATGTATTAAACCAAAATTATTGTGAACTACAATAACCTTTATCTTAGCTAATAATGGTCCTAATTCAATGTTTTTTTAAGGGAATTAAATAATCTTTCAAATAATCATGTATAAAATCAACAAACATTTATACTTTTTGAATTATTCGCAAATAAAATTTCTTTTCCTTCATATTTTTTCTTTCTCTACAATGTTTTTTTCCACCTGAAGATCTTCATATTGAGGCTTCAATCATTAGATTTGATGAAGATATGGCATACTAACAAAAAATCACGTTAGAGTAATAATATCGACACACTGCAAAAGCTGGTAAGTATAATTTAATTAGAATATGAGGTATTGAGCTTTCCCGAATAATCTTGGCCTCGGTAATATTCATAAAAACAAACTAAATATGTCATTTAAAACATGACATCTTTTAATTATGCATGCAATAAAAATTGAAAAAAAATCTACTTCATAAAATAAGAAACATGCAGTTTATATAATCTTATGAATAATTTTATGTTTTGCAGTGTGGCTGTTTATATGAGGGGTGCAGATACGAAGGGCAAATTCGACACTCGACACAAAAAAATGTCTTTAGTCCTACTGTAGTGACAATTAACATAAACTGAAGGATAAAATTTATATGAGAAGGATTTGATAGGGGGGTGCGGTCAAATAAATACTAAATTAAACAAATAGTATTATTTGATTTTTGCCACATATTTAATTATTAGTTATTTGTTAATTATTAGTTATTAGTTGTTTAATTTAATATTAATTGGACCGCACTCCCCAATGAACTCCTTCTCATATTATATCAACGTTCAACCATCTCTACATCATGATAAAATTTATAGTAATTTAATCATCATCTCATTTAATGAGTGACAGTTAATTGAAGTTTTACTGTACTACGACTCGTTGAGTTCGCCCCATGTGTAGAAAACTTTAACTGGGATTTTCTCAATATTCAGGTTTCTTGAGTATGGCCTTCATATCCGCAATGCCTCATATATTGTAAAAATCTGGTGTGGTGCGCGCATCACTCAACTTTCACTTACCACTCTGCTTTGAGTAAAAATGGTTCTTTACATCATTTGATGTTTTAGGGTCAAAACATTTAAGTCATTAGTGCCCCAATAAGAAAATAATCTACTATTTAAATATTTAGGTGGTAGGAACTGAAAGTAATAATAATAGATGGTACAACATATCATTTAAAACAATTAATTACTATGTGTTTTTCTAGTCTCATCAATTAAATTTATACGTTTTTTGCCACTAACCATTTTCTTTTATGGCTGTATATCTTAGTTATTTTCAGAAGAAGTTAGTTGTGGTATCAATGTATAAAATTCTATATTACATCATAGTCTTTTTATTGATCAATGAATTAGTGTATGTTGAGAGCTGTATCAATAAGAAGTACTATTATGTAATATGATATTTTATATATTGACCGCGCCCCTGACTAACTTCTTCCAAAATTAGAATCTACAGTCAACCATCTCCACATAAATCATTTATTTAATTGTAATAAATAATTATGTTCCACAAATTTAGTCTGACAAGAGTGTCAGATATCCATTTATATTACATCATAAATATATATTTTTGTTTAAACACTGTTATATGCAAATTTTAATTTTTGTATTTCCAGCACTGGTATGAATTTTATGAAAACTGTAAAATTAAATAATATTATTTGAAGTTTACCAAGCTTGAGGACATCCTCGGATTCCTTCTCAGTTCTAAGCTCCACATTGCCACACTATCACCCCGAGCATACCGAATCCCTCATACCATCTCTTTTTTTCTTTTGTCCACAGTTTATATTTGACCATTTTTATTCATTATGTATAGTGTGAAATAGTTAATTTTTAAAACAAACAAAATTAAAAGTACTTTAGAAGAAGAAATTTTGAAAAATCGACATTTGCCCCCTGTCAGTCACATTTACCACCTGTCAGCCCTGTCAGAGAACATCAATGAGGATAAAATCTACCTTATATTAAA